TTTCTGTAGTGTCTGTTGTGATATTGCCTTTTTCATCCTGTATGCTAGTAATTTGGGTTCTCTCTCTTCTTCTCTTCATTAGCATGGCTAAGGGTCTGTCAATCTTATTTTTTCAAAGAACCAACTTTTAGTTTTGTCAATTTTTTCAATTGTTTCTTTTGTTTCAATTTTATTGATTTCAGCTATGATTTTAATTATTTCTTGTCAGGCAAGACTTTCAATTTTAATGAACAGTAGAAAAGTCTTTTCTATGTGACAAAGTTTTATTTGCATAACAAGAAAGAGCCATACATTTCCTTGATGTCAGTGTCTTTGCTGGGTCTTTTTATACTTACATTGGACAGGCATTCCGTAGAGTGTACTTTTTTCTACTAGGGCTTTGATTACTGTTTTTCTGTTAAGATTCTAACATTCATTATCTTTAGCCTATTCCATACCTGCTGTAAAACACTTGGTACTGGAAGTCAGTAACTGAATATGCCCCAAACAGAAGCTATAATTATCTGTCTTCCCAAATATAGTTAGCTTTCCTTAGTCATGGTAGTTATGTTCCATAAAGTCACCGTGAACACTGAGTGAAAACTCAACCATTGCTCTTAAGGGCTATGTGAGCTTCTTGTCGCATATTCATTAGCTGGTCTGTGCATAACCTTGATTTATAAATCTTTCTGTTTAAAGTACCTTATTTAATATATTGATTTATTACTCTTGAGCTCAGTCACCAGCATTGTACTAATACTTGAATGGAGTGCTGACATATTTTATCTGTAAGTCACATCAAAAGTCTTTCTGAGCTGGACAGCATTTTAGTGCTGTATTTGGGGTCAATTTTAAACAGCAAAATCACCAACGAAAAGTACAAAAATTCAAAAAACGTGGCACTGCATAGACCATGAAAATGATACTTGTTTACAGTATGAAAACTGAAACAAGAAGGCAGAGTGTTACCTTATTTGACCTTAACTGGGAACATGTGCATTGAACAATTTAAATTTTTCGAAACTCTGCACATGGTTGTGAATGTCTATGTAAGAATGAGGAGTATTTGTTTTGGAGTTACAAATAAATTTTAGCACTTAGGCAAGTTTGCAAGTACAGATTCCATGAATAGTAAAGATTGACTGTACATTCCTTCCCTTGTGTTCCTTCTCTTTTTAAATGATAACACCATCAAGCCAGGCTAGAAAGATTGTACCAGTCCTTTCTCCTTCCCATCTGATACCACCCATAGCCAATTACCAGGATGTCTCTCCTAAATGKATCTCATTTGTGACTGATCCTTTAGAGTCAAATTTTCCTTTTCTTCCTTCTACTCTCTATATTAGAACTTACAAAATGTCTAAAACTTTTGCTATCATTAGAACTTACGTCCCAATAATTGAAAAAAACCCTTCAGCCTGTCTCTTGCCATCCCTATACCTTACACCCTGAAGTTCCAGCCATGGAGAACTTCTTTCAAATTCACTAGATGTGTGATGCCTGTTTTTCTTTGAATCTGTTTGTCTCCACTAGGAACATTCTTTCCCTTTTGCTTTACCTGGTCTACTCTTCTGACTCATTCTTCAATTAGGAGTATAAATACCATTTTTTTTTCTGACACTCTGCCCCCAGTAATATATTCCCCTCCCCCCACACACACACATCCATACCACTCCAAATGCATAGGGTTCTGAAGCTCATTTTGTTTACTTGCCAGTCTTACACTGTACACTATAAATTCAGTGAAGACCACATTTTCAGTGCCTATCACATRGTAAGTACTTATTATAACTAGGTTTTCTGTGATATTATTTGTTTAGTTATCATGAACTCTTTAGAGCAGTATAATATTAGTGATATAAAATGGGAAAGGAATAACCTTTCATTTACTTTTAAAAAAAATCTATTTGCTTATGCCTTCAACAGCTTCTGCGTTCTTGTATTTGTTTTTGTTTTTTTAATGTTAGTGCTTGAGAGAGGTTGGGGCTGAAGTGAAACCTCTGTACTCTGTAGTTCATCTAGTGACCTATTCGTGAATAGAGAAGTACTTCACCGGTTGGTTACTCAGTTGGACTAGTCAAACATCTTCACAAATTCCACCTTTAAGCATTGAGTTGACAAATTGGCAGACAAATATAATAATCAAAAGTGAATTCATTCAGCAGCCACTAAGGAAAATCCAATTCATTTTTTGTAAATGGGGGAGCCAGACCTACTAGATAGGTCCTTTCTTTTGTTTTTATTCTATTGAAGAAATATGTGAAAAGCAAAACTGTATCCAGTTTGGAATTAAGTAGAGGTTCATGATTTGATTTCTATATAGAATTTCACCCAATATATTTTCAATCATTTAAAACAAAAAAAATCAAGTTAATATATTATGGCCTAATTAGAAAGAAGACTTTCCCTAAATTCTCAGGTAAGTGTATCTTGGCTGCAAAGCATGTTGAATATGTAATGTCACACTAGAATAATAAAGGTCCTTTACGGCTGTTAACCTTAAAATGAAAAGCCCTTCAGTGTGTATGGAATGTAATTGACATTTAATAATACCACTATGCTGTGACATGGTGACAAGTAGGGGCTAACTTTAACACGCCAAATAGCAATTTCCACTTGTTTCTTCTTAAATAGAATCATGTGCTTCCTCATTGACTTACGGATGAAGGAAGCCTTGAAATAGCTGTCCTAATATTTGATTTCATTTTATAGGCAGAAAAACTTAAGTGTATACAGTTATAATCACTTTAGCATTTTAAGACTTTTGTTTTTAAGCTATGCCAGGGCCCAACAAACCATGACCCATGGGCCAAATCTGGTCTGTGGTTTTTACATTTTTAAAATCAGAAGAAAAGTAATGTTTCATGACAGGTGAAAATTATATGAAGTTCTAATTTCACTCCCCACAAATTAGGTTTTATTGGAACCTAGCTACACTCAAGTCATTTATGTTTTATCTGTGGTTGCTTTTGTATGACAACAGAAATAGTTGAAATAGTTTGCCCACCATCCTAAAATATTTACTGTCCTYCCCTTTACAAAATGTTCACCAACCTCTGAGCTATAGTACTGTGTTTGCATGATGTAGTATGTTAATCCAGCTGTTTAGGACCAATTTAGTAATAAAACAAGTCATGTTGAAAAAGTTCTTGAGATTTTTAGGAAGGCATGGAAATTTAACTAGTTTATTGTATATTGCCAGGGTTCGTCATGGCTTTCCACTTTTATCATTGATTTCATCTTTTTAATTTTTAAAAAGATAAGTACTTACATACATGCTTAGTATTTATCAAACACTATTCTAAGAGCTTTCTAACTCTTCTAAATGCTCCTAACAATTATGTGAAGTTGGCATCTCTACAAATGAGAAGACCACAGCATGTGTATAAGTGAAAGTTAAATAAATAGTGAAGGGAAATTATATAGCTATTTATAGCAATTTACAGCTAGTAAGGGGAAGAGTCACAATTTGAATGTAATCACCAGGTTCCAAAGTCAGTGCTCTTTACTACTGTGGCATGCTGTCTTTCTCTTTCTACTTATTTAGAAAAGTCTTGTATTAATATTAGAATTTAGTCATAAGGTGGCATGACATTTTAAAAACTGTGAGCTGCTATAACAAAATACCAAGAACTAGGTGGCTTAAAACAAGAGAAATATTTTCTGTCCCCATTTTAGAGACTTGGAATCCAGAATTCAAAGCATCCACAAGGCCATGCTCCCACTCAGACTCTGTAGAATCCTTTYTTAGGTTCTGCTGGTGGCCAGCAATCTTTGGTGTTCTTTGGCTTGCAGCTGCACAGTTCCAGTCTCTGCTTCTCATCACATAATGTTCTCCCTGGGTGTCTCCCTTGGTGTCTTTTGTTCTGTTCTTCTAAGGACACCAGGCATATTGTGTTAAGGCAAACCTTACACTGGTATGGCCAYACCTTAATTTAACTGTTTTCATCTGCAGTGGCACTACCTCCAAATAGAGTCATATTACAAGATGCTGGGAAGGACATAAATTTGGGGGGAGACTTTTCAACCCAATACAAAGCTCATGACTGTAGGGCTCATCTGCCAGATTTTGTTCTCTGAGCGCCTTTCATTTTAAGTTTAGTAAGTATAAATGAAAAGTGTAAATTGAATATCAAAAATATTTAGTGATTTGTCCCCTGCCCCTTGCTCCTGCTGTTACTGCTGCCCCCACTCCTCTTCCAAGATGGATTTACTCTTCTCAGTTTCTGCCTTTTCCCCCACTTTCCATTGATCTTGTGCTTCTGATTCATTTGAAGGCTGATTTTATTTTGGACACTTTTCTTCTGGCATGTTCTGTGAGTTTTTTAATGGAAATTTTCTTACCTGTGACTAGAACCTATGGGAAGGTGGGTTTGCCTTCATTTTTGTGAATTTGTAGTAATTAACTCAGAAACCAGAGTTGGTGTGCTTGGGGTTGAGTTTTCACCCTCATGGAGTTTGCAAATAAAGTTCAATAAATGGTTACAGTTATCTTTATTTTCTATGATATGACCATTGTTAAAACAGCACATTTTAAGAAATGTTGTGCTGTCTCAAATTCTGGACCTAGAACCTCCTCTTTTTTTTAACCTTGATTCCAAGAGTAATCCAACTGTGACAATTTATATTCTCTGTTTATCTTACAGGGTGCCCGGGAAACATTTGAGAACTACTACAGAAAGCAGAGGCGAAAACAGGCCCGTTTAGTGCTCCAGCCTCCATCTAACATGGTAGGATTACTATTTTCATACATTTACCCTTTTCTTTTCTGATATCTTTCAATTGTGTGTGTGTGTGTGTGTGTGTGTGTGTGTGTGTGTGTTGTGTTTGTGTTTACTCTTATTCTGAGATCACTTTTGGTAAATGTGGGTTGCAGTAAGAATACCAATTAACATTCAGTGATTTCTGCATGTTGGACATTGTTCTAAATATAGATATGTATTGTCTCATTTTATTCTCACTATAACTATGTAAGTAAGGTACATAATGCTATTATATTTACCTTATTCTTCAGGGAACTGAACTTCAAGATATTAAACAACTGATTTTAACTTTGTCTTAATGGAACAAAAAAAAACAATATTTTTTTTCTTTGTTGCAGCATGAAACTTTAGATGGCTATAGGAAGTATTTTAATCAAATTGTAGGGTAAGTATATATTTATTATAGAAATATATTTAAATTCACCTACTTTCAATACATAGATTAGTGAGACTTGGAAAAACATATCAGATTTTCCTTGGGAAATTCTTTGTGTTTTCTTTTTAAAATTCTCAAGAAGACAAATTTATTTTTTATTTCCTTGTGATTTAAAAGGAACACCATGCTGGCTTCAACATTATATTGTTGGAGGACACTTTTTGAATTATAATCTTACTATAGTAGATGTTTTGTTCTCTATTCTTGGTAATATGGCAAAAGTTAGCAAACTTATTCTAAAATGGCCGGAGAGTWAAGTATTTTAGGCTGAGTAGGCCACATGAAATGCCACTGTTCTTCAGCTCTATCATAGTCCAAATGCAGCTGTGGACAATTCGTAAATGATAGAGCATGATTGTGTTCCAGTAAAACAATCTTCATTAAAACAGGCAGGTTATAGTTTGGGTCAGGTTATAGTTTGCCACCTTCATCTGTAGTACATATAGTAATATGGAATTATACGTCCCATATAAACATCCCAAGTACACATAGGGAGCTTGTTCTAATCTTAAATAATAACTGCCATTAAAAGAAAGGGAAATAAGTTGGATTCTTTCATCAAGTCTCTTTCTTCCTTTATAAAATCAGATTTAGATTGTTTTAGTGTAATTAATAATTTTGACTAAAATGTTATAAAATTCTCTAATAAAGAATAGTTTTAGTACTTGAACATTTAGGCAAGATAACTGAAGGTATGTTTTAAATGCATAATAACAAAAAGCCACAATAAGGATGTTAAAACATAAGTTTGCTTTTTAAAAACCATTTTTATTACTTCGATGAGAAAAATCTACATAAGTGGAATTATTTTGATGTATTATGTTCTTAAAAATACATATTTCAGCTTTCATTCTCTCTTTAAAACCTATTAGTTTCTTGAAATGTATTTATGACCTGATTTTAAAAAATTTATTGAAATTAGYTTGTGGAATGAAATTGACCAAATTATGCTATATGTACCTATATGAATGCACCAAGTAAATTTCACCTTTATGTATATCTGTAAGGCACCAATTAAAATTATTTGAAAAACAGAAGGAATATCAGTAGAGGAGGCTGGGGATGTGGCTCAAGAGGTAGCGCGCTCGCCTGGCATGCGTGCGGCCCGGGTTCGATCCTCAGCACCACATACCAACAAAGATGTTGTGTCCGCCGAGAGCTAAAAAATAAATATTAAAAATTCTCTCTCTCTCTCTCTCCTCTCTCACTCTCTAAAAAAAAAATAATAATATTTTAAAAAAAAAGAATATCAGTAGAGGAAGGGGAATAGAGGGAGGGGGAGAGAGAGGGGGAAAGGGAAGTACTGGGGACCAAAATGGAGCAAATTATAGTTCATGCATATATGATTATGTCAGAATGAACCCCACTATCATGTATAACTGTAATTCACTAATAGAAACTTTGAAAAATTATGTACTATTAAAAAAAATAAATTAGCCTTCATTACTTAGAAACGTTTTCTTCCATTTTAAATATCGGGATAACATGGTTAACATTTTATAGGAATAGAACTCCATTTTCTGTAGAAATGATTAAGAGGATATGATCATGGACATAATTATGAGTCTAAGAAGTCATTTCATTTATAATACTGAAAACTTTCTTTGAGGAAAATAATGAATATTAATGTTGAATTTGATGTCAGCTCCTAATATTCATCAAAACCTAGAGACAGTAATCAGACTGCAATTTCTGACAGTTGTACTCTGTTTTCTCCTCAATCTTAGCTTTTTTGTGGTTGAAGATCACATTTTACATACAACCCAGGGCTTAGTAAATAGAGCCTACATCGATGAACTGTGGGAAATGGCACTTTCAAAAACCATCGCAGCACTCCGTACCCATTCGGTATGTAAGATGCACAAGAAAAATTCCTATTTAGAGCTGGTTATTTATGTACTATTCAGTGTTTTACTCCTTTAAWATCAACATGTATGTCTTTGAATTTACTCATTTGGAGCTATATATGTCCTTCAAAGACATAGGGAAGTAGCCTCTTCAATTAGGCATATTCTCTAACACTGAGTTCAATTTTGTAGATGCTCTTCACAAAACACAAAATAGCATCTAACATCTATTGATGATTCTGTGTGTGTAATGCATCGTTCTGTGTATTTTATATACACTGTCTTATTTCATCCACATTACAACCATATAAAGGTAGGTATTATTAATGTATTTATCCTATAGTGTAGGATACTAAACTCAGAGAAGTCAGGTGACTAGCTTTATGCCACATAATAAGAGACGGATCATGGATTCAAACCTGAACAGAGCCCATATTCTTAGCTTCTGCTTTATATTGTCTTCTACAATATCTGTTAATATTAGAAACACTGATTTGGAGTTCACAGTTTTACTATTACTTTTTGAAGAATAAGAGTTTATAACATACCAGGATGTCTAATTATTAGTTCCCATATAGCATGAATTTTTGATGATAATATAGCATGAATTTTAGGTAGAGAATGCTGGTTTTGAATTAATTATTCATTCATTCTTTCAGTATATTTTTAACACTGACTATATGTTTGAAATACAGGTATAAATGAGAGAGAAAAACCTTGTTGCCAAAAGTTGTATTTTATTTGGAGATACACAGAAAAATAAATAAGAATATCAGGCAGTGCTAATGCAGTAAAGACAATTAAAATAGAGTGATAGATTAGGGCAACAGGGTACTTGCTATTGATTATTTGGTAAGAAGTGGCATTCTGAGATCAGAATATTATGAAGTCACTATTTATGCAAAGATCAATGAAATTATAATTTGGGGACACAAAGAACAGCAGTATAAGGGCTTTTATGTGTACAGTGTTTGAAGAATAACAGTGGGAAGTCAATAACTAGACAATTTAGTATTTAAAAAAATTCATTAAATGGCCCTACTATCCACCTACTTGTTCTAATTTGAAAGGATCATCATCCCTGATCATGTAGGTCTCCTTATATAATTCATCAGGAAGTGTCCCAGACACAGAAACAATCACATGCAAAATCCATAGTGGAGCGTGGAGTTTGGCTCAGTGGTAGAGTGCTTGCCTAGCATGCACCAGTTTCTGGGTTCAATCCCCAGCATCTCACACACACACGCACACACACACACACACACACACAAATACATAAAAGTTTATAGTTGAAGAGAACATGATCATATTTCATTTTAAATACATTATTTTAACTAAAGTGTGGACAGTGGATGAGGGGAAAAAATATGAAGAGAACAATTAGGTTAGTCCAGTATTCTAGACAAGAGGTGGTGAGAGCCTGGATCAACGGATGAGAGCTGATATGGTGATATGTTGACAAATTGTAGAGTTTTTTTTTTTTTAAGAGTTGAGATTTAACTGTAATTTCTGATGGATTAGATATAAGAGGTGAGAGGAAAAAAAGCTATTAAGGTAATGCCTAGGCTTATATGGTCCATTATAAAGGAAAGAGATTTAGTTTCCTCACAGTTTTGGAGATTTTAGTCCTTGACTGATTGGTCCTATTGCTTTGGACCTGTGTAATTTACCTGCGCGGTCAATTACATGGAATCAGCAGTGCTCTGTGAAGGAAGCCCAGTCACCTCCGGGCCAGAAATGAGAGGGAGGAGAGAGGAGAGAAGAGGGGGAGGGACAAGGAAGACTACCTTTATTTTATATTTTAATGGACTTTAAAATATTTTATTATCTCTTAATAAAGCATATATGTGATATGTATSGTAAATACTGTTTCTTAGTTTTATGTGTCTTTTCTCTGCTTTTCTGCAGCTTTTTAGAAGCTATAAAAATTTTTGTGTAGTTCAATTGATCTTTTACTTTGTAAATTATATCTTCTTTATTTCAAAGAATATATCATTATTTGTATTTGAATTTAGTACTTCTGTAGTTGCTTTTTCTTACATATACATCACAAACATAAAAATTTTTTTTTAACACCTGGTATGAGATTGGATTCCATCTTTACTTTGAAAATGAATCATTATTCCCAGTAACATTATTGTAATTATATATTGTCTTACTTAACTTGCACTGCCCTAACAAAATACCATAGACTTCATGGATTAAATAGTAGAATTTTATTTTTTCCACGTCCTGAGAATGAAAGTTGGAAATTAGGGTGCCAGTATGTTCATTTCCCGATGAGAGCTTTCTTGGCATACAGATGGCTGCCTTCTTTACTCAGTGTGTGCCCTCAGAGAGAGAGAGAGAGAGAGAGAGAGAGAGAGAGCGCACGTGCGAACAAGAAACAGAAAATGCTTTCTCATGCCTCCTCCTTTTATAAGGAAACCAATCCCATTGGATTGGGGTCTCACCTAATCTTCTTCTTTGGCATTAATTACCATCCAAAGGCCCCTTCCCCACAAGAAGCCCCATGATGGATTAGGACTTAAACGTATGAATTTTGGGAGACACAACATTCAGTCTATTACATCCTTTCCTTTATATATTTTGAAGATCACCTTTGTCATATAATAAAATATTATATGTACACTGAGGTCTTTTTCTAGGTTGAATGATTCATTCCCCACTTTCCTTGAGCCAATAAACACTGTTGTAATTATTATATCTGAAATTATATAATTATGATATCTGATAAACACTGTTGTAATTTTATATATGAAATTATTTAATTTTATTGGGCATGCATATCCTTTTCAATCTTTTAAAAGTACAATAATTATTTATCCTCTTATTCTTCCAGATAAGCTTGAGAATCAAGATTCAGTTTCTTATATTCTTCCTACCCTATGTACTCCTGTACACCAAATKTGGGATTCAGTTTTGTTGTGCAATRAATCTGTAAATTAAAATGTTTATAATTGACATGGGGATTCCTGCAATCAGTGTCCCACAAGTACTGAGGAACAGCTGTACAAAAAACTAAAAACCATTAAATTATATAATTTAAGTGGGCAAGCTGTGTTRTATGGGAATTATATATCAACAGAGTTATTAAAAAATAATTCAGCATTTCACAGATTGACTCACTGAACCATTTTTATCCCTCAAGAGACAAAATGATTGGTGCCACAGATGCTAATTGTATTTCATGACACCATTTATTGTATTATCATTACCCAGCAAACCAGACAAAATGAGGGCAACCCAAATATCTAAACAAATCTCAAAATAAACACTATACCTGAGTGATTACTTTATTTTTTTATAAAAAATATTATACTCCCCCCAACTTTATGTGTGGCTATTAAAATGACTTTTTTATGATTGAATTAATAGTATAATTTGGGATATTTTGAAAGATAAACATTTTCATATATTAATATATGCAGAATTCTTAATGCTGATTTCAAACCTGGTAAAGATTTATATAATGCATCTCACTTAGAAATGAAATTCAGCAATACATTCTGACTTATTCTGGTTCCACTTTGGATTTTTCAATTTTACACTGGTGCAAAGGTGATATGGGTTGAGTAGATACTGTACTGCAAATATGGGAGTTTTAACTTTTCTTGAGCTAACATGGGTGATGTGATACTTTCTTAGAATGCTGGGTAGTGACATTTAATAAAACACACCATAAACTTATGATAAATTCTCTCAATAAATTATGAAAACAGGATTTAATTCAACTTATGATAAAAGCCATTCTTTTAAAAGCCTATAATATTAAATTTAATTACCATTAGTCCTATTTTTATATTGTACTTGAAGTCATTTGCAGTGTTGTAAGCACAACACAATAAATAAATAAAAAGCATAAATCTTTGAGAAGAAAAAATCTTGTCAGTTTTGCACATATAATTTGATACATTGAAAATTCAAAGGAATTAACAAAAATTGTAATTAATAGATGGGTTCACTAAAATTCTTGGATAAAAAAATCATTATATAATTTCTCATGTTTTTCTAAATCTGGAATAAAGTTGAAAAATTTTAGATTTGAAAGATAAAATTTATACAATAGCATAAATAAGAATTAGTTAGAAGTAGATGTAACAAAAAATGATCACCATGAAGAAAAATTCTAAGAATATTATTGAGAGGCAAATTAAAGAAGATCARAGAAAAACTGAGATACATATAATGTTCATGTATTGTAAGTTATAATTATAAATTTATTATTCTTTTAAGATTTATCAATAGACCTGGTTTAATGGCAATCAAAATTCCAATACTTTTATTATTGATAGGATGGGTGCCTTACAACCTGATTACAATATTTTTTAAGCCATTACAAAAGCCAAGAGCAAATAAGAGACTTAAAACTTCTCAAATATAAAATATATTAATAAAAAAAAATACAAACAAATGAAAAACTAAGGAAAGACATGGGAATGATTATCATCAAAGTCTGAATGAATTTTGTTTCTGTGACTAAGGAGGGATGAAGTTGTGATTAAAGCCCCTAACAGGGTCTGGCCTGCCGCTGGGGTTCTGTTTTGTTTAAAGGGCAAAATTGTGCATACAGGTTTTATTCATTTTTGTTTATGTGTACTATATTCATAATGTTAAGAAATGTAGGAAAGAGGGAAATAATGAAAACAAGCCAAAGAAGGTTAAATCCAAAATAAAACATGGATTCTTTGAAATTTATTTCTATCAGATAGTGAAATTCAATTCAAATATTAAATGGAGAAAAAAGAGTAAGAAGATGTGAGCAAGAAGATGAAGTCAAATGTATGTCCCAAAATACAAGGCAAAGTCACAGAGAAATAGAAATATGAAAGGAAAGCTAAGAAACATGGATATTGATATTGACTGTGGGATATATTTGATAAGAGATTCAGAAAGAAAAGATGGTGATAAATGAGGGGACTGTAATAACAAAATCAGAGAAAAAAAATTTCCTACAGTGAACAAAACCAGATTCTTGAGGTTGAAAGGATTGGGGACCAA